CTGAAGTGACATTACGGAAGGACTTAAGGCTGATGATTTTATATGCGCAATACTTGTTGATGTCACATTAGGCCTTCTCGCGCAGTGTCGCGCCGTTGTAATTGGTGAGACTGAAGCCACGGCTACTAGACCTAAGTCAGATATTGCGGTTCAAGTAAGAGCACGCATAGGTATCGAGAAGAATGAGGTGTCATGTTCAAGTTTCGCAACAGCTGACTAGTAGCAAGGGCACATGGGGCAGAAGCTTTTGAAGTGACTTGGAATAGACCATATAAGCTTTTAAACATTCGGCAAATTTCCGTAGAATAAGCCTGAAAGGTGCTGCCAAAAGTCGTATCCTTCCGCCATCCCGCTGTCCAGTAAAAAGGCTGGGTCCATCATCATCGGCAGAGTATCAGCAGCATCAGTCGAACCGATCTTGGATAGATACCAGCTCCCGATTCCCGAAGAGTTTCCGGCGTAAGCTGCCACCATCCGCTGACGACTGCTCAAAATCGTGCTGCTATAGCTGGTGGCGCGAGGTATAGTACTGCATCGGTCGCTCAATATTTGAAGCGTTTCGGCCAAGTCTAAATTTGCCCTCGCTGTTTCCAGGTCCCAATCGTGGTCCTCCACACTTAGAAGTCCAGCTGCCTTAATTCTGGCTAGTGCCAGATGAAGAATTGACACGAACGTGAGAGTAGGGTATGGTTCTAGACTCAGAGACAGGAAAGCATTTAAGAGCTCCTGAGTGCTTGTGAATCAGCGCCACATGATGCGAGATCTGAAGTGGGCTGTTTTGAATCCGTAATTTCCGTTCGCATGTATGGCAGGTTCGAACAGCCGGATGCGTATGGCCATGCAATGGTCGCGCAAAAGGTCTATCGTAGGTTGTCAGCGGCATCCAAGTCACGCTTAAGACAGAAACGGGGCATACTGTTTGAACGAAGATGGGTTGGCAAGAAATCAGCGAATGATTCAAGCTCTTTCTGGACGTTGGCAATAATCATGGCATGAAGCCCAAACGGTCTACCAACCTGAGAGTCGTTCTTTTCCCCGAAAATATCATCGACTTGAGAGCAATTTTTCTTACTCTTGTTAAATGCACTAGCAAGGAGTCGGTCGGTAGCTCCTTGTCGTTTGACAGTATCTCACAGCAGTCAACAAAGTAACGTGCAAAGTCCAATCGAGAGGACCGGCCCAGGAGACTACCATGTCTAGGGACATTATCACGGTAAGCTTCAGAGAGCGGAACAATACTTGAGATACCTGGTAGATTCTTACACAGAATTGATGCAGAGGAGCCCCAACGCAGCGCGAGATCGTCTCTCAAATGCGCAGCATTCTCGACAATTGATCTGGAGGTCGACGTCGAGAGGTCGGGACGCTTCATCAGTTCCAAGTCTTCTGCTAGTACTCGGGCGAGGTGCATAAGGCTGGTATCAGAGGATGTCGCGAAGTAATGTATATCGCTCCTAAATATACAAGAATCAACATTAGTTATCAGAAATATCTCGGAAATGGTTGACTCAGTGTTTCTCACCAAGCGAAAAATACCAGCAATGATTGTAAAATCTCCAAGCTCTTCTCAAGCAGGACCACCACTCGGTGCGCGATATGTTGCCGAAACCATCTCTTGAACACTTCGGTTAGCTCGCCTTCAGGAGGCTTGCATGTCCAAATGATAGTCTCCAAAAGCAGCGGTTTGTCTCTGTATAGTTGTTGTGCATCGCAGACGGGTAACGGAACAAACGGAAATTGAGGAACCATGTCGGACATGTACAGTCGAAGACCCATGTTGGCTTCTTGCAAGATGACTCGATACCCTGGGATGATTGTCAGTATTCCTTGAAGCAACTCGACCGGATCTGCGGCTAGATTTAATGGCGAATAAGAGTCGTCTGAATCAGGCTGCGATGTCGAATGGAAATTGATCGATGGCGATGGATGGCCGTGTGAAGCCTGGCTGTTTCGAGCTGATTGCTCACGGTCACGATTCAGAAGCGACATCATGTCGTCCAACTTCCGTTCAAGCACTTTGGTATGGCTACAGAACCACAGCTCTGGTTAGTCTTGAGTACTTGTGATGATCCTCGAAGACTTCTTATGCTGAATTTCCTCTGTTCCTCTTGACTTACGGCGGCGCTTTAGAGCAGTCAAGATGGTGGCTAGAGCATCTGAACGATGACGCCAAAGGATGAGGCTGATGATGGACAGACTGCGTCCGGGGGCGAGACACCGCGCAGCAACATGTGAAGCCAAGCCGTCCAGTGGATTAGGGGCGTTGGCTATGTCCTATCACCTAGTCCTCACTAGTCTGGACCGAGATTTCGTCCAGGCTCTGCTCGATATTGGCAAGGCGGTTATTGATCACTCTGGATCACATGTAAGAGAGAAAACACATGGTTTCCTGTTCTTGTTAAATTCTCAAAACAAAAATTACAAACAATTTGGGTCCGTCCGATGGACGAATGTATTTGATAGATCTAGGCTCGCAAAATGCTCCAGTGATTGCATCTTTTCTTAGATAGTTGTGGTCTTTTGACCATGTCGCCTGTAGTCTATAACACTCTCAATCAGGCCAATGACCTTGTCCGATTTCAGTGATCATCAGATGAGGCTTTGTAGGCAGTTGCAGTCTCATTTGATGATCACCAAAATCGGGCAACGCAACTAGTTATCGAGAATGATATTCGTTTGTAGGAATTGGGATGTGACGCTCGGTATATTGTGTCGTCGGTGTACATTAGTTGTAACCCCCACTGCGCCCCCCCCCCCCCCTCCTCCACCGGATCTCATACGTTACATTACTATCAAGGTTCGTCCAGTAATGTATAAATGCTAGATGCCTCTTCAATAGGCTTATGGCCTTGCGTAGATCGATGGCAGTTCTGGCCGTTTCACGGAAACGAATGTTTGCAATACTCCCGCGCGTGTCGGAGGCAATTATCCTTTCGGGGGAATCTCTTCTTGCAGCCGCTATTTGGGCAGGCGTAGCGCTCTTCTTGTGTCGGCTTGTTGTGCTTGTGGCGGTGCTTTCGCATATCTTTGGGCAGGTCGCAGGAATGGCTGCAACTGCTGTGTTGGCATGTATATCTTTTTCGTGAATGGCACGATGATTTGACAGGTTTGTGTCTGGTATCTTCGAATGGCGAAGTTGAGTGGCCCGGCAGTAAGTCGGGTTTGTGTCCAGTACTCTCGATTGGCGAAGTTGGTAAACGCAGTGGCGTGTTGCTATTTTCCTCGAATAGCGAGGATGTTATCAAGTTCGAGAATTGCTCGAATCTAAATTCGTCGCGCTCGAAATGGTCGAGCAAAGTTGCGCTTAGACAGCCATCGACATACCCAATGAAATCGTTGTCATGGGAATCGAAAACGTCTGGCGGTCTGGGTGATGTTATACATGTGATATCCCAGGACCTTGACTGCCCCAAGCATCTAGGATGTTGTGCGTGTTGCTCCGGCGCTAGGCCAGTCGGCGGTGGCGGGTCACAATCAAAGTCGACGAGTGTTTCGGGGGAAAGGATTCCACACCAAGCTCTTCGAGGATCGATCGGTTCCCGTCAAAAGGCCGCCGTCTTTCTGACGGACGGCGGCCTCTGAGGGCAGAAATGGTAAACAAGGAGGGTAGCGCCTTTTGCAAGGCAAGAGTGACGGGGTAAAAGTGTCCTATAAAGCAAGAGAGTCTACTTTACAGAATAAAAAAAAGGTGTCTAGATTTTGACAGGCTTTGAAAGAAACGAGAGACTGTGCCTGAGGGGAAAGGTTGGTAGTTAAGTACTGTGTTGTTTGGGCGGACTCAGGATCTACAGGCAAATAAGAGTCCTGTGGCTTGCAGATGCCAAGACCATCTACCACCAATTAGACAGTATGCGGGCTGAATATCACACCGAAGACAGGACTCAAAATTCCAGCTGAAAGAGGGTATGGACCACTCAGACACAACACTGCCCTGTCATTGGTGATCTTGTTAGACACACCAACGCAGCACACGCGCGCGGGTTGAGCCGATCAGAGGCTTCGCCGAGATCCTGGTTTCCAGACAAGGCATTTGCTTCGTCGCTGAGTGACACTTGAACTTAATCCCTCATTCTCTTGAGAAACCAGTTGCAAGATCCTGAGTCGCCAACACACCGATGTAACGAAGAAAACATGGCTAGTGCATGCACTTACATAGTACTGCTAGATTTACTACAGATGATCTTGAGATCTTCGCTGGGGATGAATGAAGTTCCGAGATGCATATGATATGTGGTAGTGGGAAGCGTGACGCTAAGACTGAGTCCTCTTAACTCAAGAGGACTCACATTTGCTCGTGGAACATCTATCCGACAAAGAGAAAGAGTCCTTTTGAGTCCTCTTCAACAATGCGGACCGTTTCGAGAGTCCCTGGTATTTAAAACAGCAATTTATTTCGAGTGAGAGATATAAAGCCCAATTCAATGTCGAGAGTAGGTTGGTCAGAAGTGAACTCCCGGGCCACGATACCGTCACATCAACCTTGATACAATCTTAAGCTTCGGTCAACTCCCTAATTGAAAAAATGAATTCGAATTCGAAAGAAAGGTGAAACCAATATTCTCTACAGCAATTCCAATTGGTTGGATTTAGATACTGACGATGTACTGCGTCCAGTCAACCCCGACAAGTCGAAGGCAAGGGACCTAACCTCCCTCTGACCCTTCCCTCCACCCCTGCCTCTTTCAACGCCATTAGTCGTGCATACCCGTTTCCCGAGTCTCTTAACGAAACGATGAATCGATACTTTAGGTCTTTTGACCCATCTTGGATTCCTTTGCCTACGGATGAGGAGAAAGAGACGAAAGAAAAGAGCAAAGCGAATAGTCAAGAGAGCTGCGTTGCTCTAGTAAATGGCGGAAAGCAATGAGAGTCATCGTACTTTCGAATACACCTCTATTTGAATAGACTTCTAAAGTGCCAGTAGTTTTGTTAATATGTGAGCTACGGATTCTCAAACATTACCCTAGAGTTTCATTACATCATGTTGTTGCAAGATGCTATCATAGAGCTTCGTTCCCTCTATCCCAGATGACGCCTCTCCTGTCTCTCTTATTTATCCAAGTGTACTGTTAAAGAAGGGTTATTTAACTGCAAAAGATAAGCAAAAGTTTCTGGCGTGGCATACCTCAAAACAACACGGCTTTCCATCTCCCACCGTGACAGCGAGGAGATTTGCCTCGCTCCAAACAGGCCTGAAGCCAACCTCCTCAATCCTTTCCCACCACTCCGCAAACTGACTGATCTTGGGTCCCTTTTCCGGCACATGAATCTCAATCACCATCTGACCAACTGGAACCTCCTTGCCCTCAAGCTCACCACCTTTCGCATAGTCTCCCAAAAATGACTCCAATGTCGGAAACTCATCCCCTTCGATATCCATTTTGATCAGGTCCACGTAATCGTGCCTCAGTTTCTTCATGATGCTTTTGATTGAGAGAAACTCTGTCTTCTCCTTTTCATCGTAGTAGTCGTACTCTGCGACAGCCGTCTTGAAAAAGTGCGTCCGGTTTGGAAACGCCTCTAGTCCCTTGCCCCAACCGTCGACTGTGTCGTCGAAACCGTACATCTCAGCAGCGCTGGAGCGGTTGAGCATCTCCGCTTCGAAAGAGGAGTCATCTCCAATACCAAAGCTGTAGATGCGAATAGGTTTCTCTGAAGCTCGAGATTTAGGTTTCGCCCTTTCGTATTTACTCATTCCGCATATCCACTTGCCCCCATCGCCGAGTTTGCCGACTCGTTGGACATCCCAGGGACACGTGTAGGTTGCTGGGAACAGGTCCCAGATGGTATACCAGAAGCGGAGACTTTCATCTCTTGCTGTAAACCTAGTTGACAATCAGATATTGATACTGCGACCCGGAAACACTCTACTGACAGTATCGAGTCGTAGTCTTTGTTCACACTCATCCACTCATGTCTCTTTTGGACTGAACTCAACCACGACTTTTCTGACAATGCTGCCCGACTAAGCTCGCTTAAGTGAGTATCGCTCCGAGATAGTACCCAGGATGACCATGTTTCGTTTAGAATCGGCGTCAGGAAGTAAAGGGAAACTACCGGGATAAAGAAGGGAAGGAATCTTGGAAAAGACCATATCCCCTGGTTGACGGGCTTCAGAGCCGCCATTGTATGTGGTATCCGTGTCGATATTACAATGGTAATCGCTCTACAGGGTCAACTCAAATACAGATCTTGAATCCTGTATTGCACAACAATCACCAAGGTCCAAGGAGATAAGGCCAAGCAGTATTGCCACTCACTGCCACCGAATTACCGCGGGCTGGAAGACCATCTGGCCCAATGAACAGCCATCTGATCTTGACAACATCATCGGAATAGACTTTGACCTTCATTCTTTACTGAAACAGCGTACCTGAAACCGTCGTCGATCCGTAGTGGCCTCGTTTCTGCGAAATCTCCCCAAAATGCCCGCCACGAGTCAGTCTTCAGACGGCGACAAAACATCAGACTACGCCTCGGTTCATCTGTGTTCAACGAAAGCATTTCGTTGACTCGATTTTCAAGATGCACCAGGACGCAGTCCGGCTGAACGCTGGCACTTTGAGTTCAAGGCGGAGAGTCCAGTGTTCGGGAGATCGTCCAAGTGGGTTGATGTAATTGAGTCAGTTACGCTTGAGACATTCATTGCATGCCATGCCCCTTTTCCATGTTATGCCGAATGAATGGATTTGCCGTGAGGATTGAAGTCTCAGCCACACAGTATAACGTCAAATTGCCTCCCAATAGCTTGGAAAGCCTCCGGCGACAATTGCCATTAAACTTCACGCTATTTCGAAGAATTTACCGGCATTACGCTGTATGTTTCCACGATTATTGACCCAGTCGTAGCCAAGATCGCCTACAATGCACGGTGCCGTACGCGTTCCTTCCACCAATGCCGTTTCAGCGATACGGCGCTTTGGCACAAGAGTGAGGCTTTCTACAAACAACTTGCGCATCGTCTCTCTGCATAGACCACTCGGGGTAGGCGCCAAGAGTCAACCCTCGTGGTTTTGTTGTATTTAGCCATTACCCTACCCGGGACCCAACCAGCTAGGCCTTGAATTGTTTGGTCCGTTTGGCAATTGTCCACTCACAATCCACTCGATTCGACATCGAACTTCTAGTAGCTGCTCCTAGCAAGAACCCACTCACTCCTATCATCATCATGAAGTTCACATCGACTCTTCTTATTCTTGCTAGCGCAGGCGCTGTAGTAGCCGTAAGTTGTGATTCCAGTCTGCTCCACCAAAACTGCCTGACTAACTCTTGTTCAAGTCGCTCCCCAATGCGGGGATGCCACTCGTTGAACGCGATGAAATTGTGGGCAAGAAGGGACTGGAGGCAACCAAGACAAACCCTCGAGTGAAGAGAGCAGACGGAACTTTCAATCTGGTTCCACGACAGACACAAACGAAGCAAGCCAGAATGGACTCGGATGATGATGATGCAGGCCCCTTCAAGGAGAAACGCGCCGAAGAAGCAGTCCAAGAGAAGCGTGACGAGCTGACGCCGACGAAAACGAATCCTCGGGTGAAGAGAGCCGATGGCACTTTCAACCTCGCTCCAAGGCAGTCTATCACAGGGAAGGCGAAGGCATAGACGTGTGGCTGGGTTGTTTTGCGGGGATATAGCTCACGTAGGCAGTTTGGGAGGCAGAGGTAATACAAGCATCAAATTCTGTACGAAGTGAAAAGCATGGGTCAGGCAAGAGACAATCTTTCTCGCGGGGTAGTAATACATGGATAAGTGACGAGGCGCGAAGCGCCGTTCGGCATGGCGTTCTTCCACTTCGCATGATCGAAGGCTGGAAAGTTCGTCAGGTTCATACTTTGGAAACCCACAAGAAGCCTCCACTACGCTATTCTCACGCCAGTAGGCACCTCCGAAGCACCACGGCAAGGCTATGCAGTACCTGGCAGAGTCTACAGTAGCTCGCGGGCATAAAAGGACCTAGAACGGACGCCGCGGCGTGAAGAGCTACGCAAACTTCGGTATCTCGGTAATGTCAATGACCCAGAACTGCGAGAGCGAGGCATTTTCGAGCTTAGGTTAAATGAGATGTAGTACTGATAATGCGGGTAAGCGCGCAAGCTTTGTCGTGTTGCGTGTCACGGCATTGATGGCATGGCGTGACCCATCACAAGCCGCTTGACTGTCAATAGTTCGTACGACGCTGTGACGAGGATGAGTCTTCAGTAGACAGCCTTCCAGAAGCATTCTGGGGAAGTCAGTTCATCTGCATAACACAGTCGGGACGAGAATAGTCTGGGTTCCCTGTCTTGAAACGGATCAATCAGAGACCATGTTCCTAGCAGAACGCACGAGCCAAGAACGCCGAGCATTTCGCAAGTTTGTGCGTGTACTTTGCCCCGGAAGACCCGGCCTGACTCGCAGCAGCCTTAAATGTGGGTGTTTGAGTCTGGCGAATGATATTAGTGATGGGTAAGTCCGTTTCGGAGTAGTAAATCTGCCTCGTAAGGCTGGGGAGGGTTGGTTGAACGCCACCAATTATTTGATGATGATGTAGCGACCCTTCCGCGCGGCTATGTGTATTGTGGGTGACACAAGCGGTTCGATTTCTTGATACTGGAATGAGAGAAGGATGTTCAGAACACGGGGTCAAGAAGATATTTTCCAGCGAATTCCAGTCTCTCCGAGCGGCCTCCGATGGGCTACATCGAAACGGCCCCCAAATGGGGGCTGAGAAGCTAATCTGGTGGTTGCGATATTTGGCTGTGTGTGCCAGGCACTGTGCAAGAAAGACGTGAGGGGGTTCAGGGAAGCAGATCCTACAGCCTTGCGGGAATTCTCGCGGTCAGCTGGTCGGGAGCCCTCCGGCCACCTATTTCTCGGAGATCCGGGGGTGAGATAATCAGGTCGTGTGAGGAGGCATGATGCATCGCAACATCGATACAGATCCTGTTGATTCAGCTCAGGTGGAAGTGGAAGTAGTCGACCTCCGGATACGCAATTTCTACCGCGTCTATCGCTAGGCAACTGGTGGCGAGTTTAATATGACTGTAATGACTGGATTCAAAGAAGCGAGCCGGCGAAGGATCGGAGGTAGTCCTTGAGAGTGCCTGGATGCGTTGACGCGTCTGGTGTGGTTGGTGTCTTGAAGTGACGCGGGCCACGAGCCAATGAGTGATGAGCCTGCCATGTACGAGAAGCTGATTGTGGACAAGTCCTATGAGCCTAGAACCTCGACCAATTCGTCTTGTAACAGGCTGTCAAGACCCAGCAGAGATGGCTACAAACAGGTGGGAATCTGAGCTCTGTCAAGATGTCGGGTGTCCAGGCAGACGTTTAAGGTAATGCGATACGTACCTTCGGTAAGTCTAGGGTGAGCCGCATCGGGTGACCTCCAGCCCGTGTTAGTCATCAAGGGAATCTGGGGAATTTTGTTCTGACCTAAGGCAGAATGCGACTGGTGCCTGCTGGCGGCGGTTGGAATCGGAAGGTGAAAACTGGAAGGGAGCGGTGTGGACATGATGAGGTACGTATCGTTGTCTCCAAGAGTTTGTGCGACGGCCCGGGGAAAAAACAGGTGGTCGGAGCTTTCACCTCCCAGCAGCTTCCATCCAATTCCTCTCCCCCTCAATGTCAACTCCAACTCCAATTGCTGCTGCCACGATGTAATGCGCTGCACTGCGACACGATTCGATGCGATGGAATCGATTGAGCCTCTCGGAGCACTTGCAGACCTTGCAGAGAAACGCACCCCGCTCCCCTCGTCATTGTTTGAAGTGATGAGATGTCAAGCTTCTTTTGCTATCCACCTGCACGAAACAAGGCCTGGCTGCATCGGTTGGTCCGACTGAGAAGCAGGCTGTGGTGGCTGTGTGCACCTTGAACAAACCTGGTGCCATTAGTGACCAGCACAGCCGTCTCACTCGCATACTAACACTGCCAAACCATGCCCGTATGCTTCTTTCCGCAGCCAAGATTCCGACTGAACTGGCGGGACGAACATGACGCTTTCCTGGTACTGGACCGGTGCGCGCCATGGGACGAGCATCGTCACCAACCTTGTCAAGCCCTCAGTGGCTCCCCTTGCAGCCTACGATCCTTCGACGGCGACAACGAAAGCTATCGTTGATAGTTCCCGCGAGGTGGAGTTTATCGAATTGGCCCGCAGCCACTTGGCCAGATTCCAGAGTCCGATGATCGACTGCTTCAATTGTGGCCTCATGCACACCAGCCCATCTGCAAGTCAACTAAGTGGACCTGGTCCTACCGGCCACTCAGAGAAACCGCATTGTAGCGTCGCGCAAGAAGACAAACAAAGAGCTTGCATGAAAACCCTGCGAGGCCGAAGTGACTCAGGTGTCATTCGCTAAGTTCAATGGGATGATTGGCTAATGCATCACCGATTCTGAACAGAGTGAACAAAGAAGATCGCTGCGACTCGAGCACCACGGCGGCTGTCGCTTATTCGGAAACGATGTTGATTTCTCGATAATCAACATCTTCAGGTCGGGCCTGGCCAACACGGGCCAAATCTGCAGTCGAAATGTTTCGATTGCCGCTGTCCATGTCACCCTGGCTTTCCCCAACGGCGCGCGCAAGGTGCCTCTCCCCGCGTCGAATAGATGAAGAACCGGGGGGAAACACTTTGGCACTTAAGTGGTGGCATAAGGGATGGTACCGAGTTGGGAGCCAAAATAGCATCATATCGCCCAGATTATTGTTTCGCGGCTTTCCCACTCAAAAGTCCGGATTCGTCATCTTCTACACGAGGCTGCGACAACGCCAGACCTCCACGGCGACCATCCACGACCTCTGCCCAGACGAAAAAAATAGAGACGCTGACCACCAGCCAGTCGGTTCCCTCTCCATCCTACGGTGAGCCAGATACCACTACATGGATTCAACATCGCGGCGCAATTTACACGAGCCGCATCCACAGCACTCAACCACACCCTCATGCGCAAGGCCACATAGCTGGGAATTGAGGACTACTCTCAGACACATCAGAAGAACACAAGAAAGCGCCACTTGTGCGCCCTCAAGCCTGTCACGACTGTCGAAATTCCTTGGCTCCCTCCAGCGCCCTCATTTTGACGGCTTATGGTGGCCCACCCTGGCAACGTCCCAAAAGTCACCTCCCGTGCACCGCCTCTAGTACCAGTAGGCCTCCCCCAAAAGAGGCTGTGCGATATTTCCAGAGGTATTTCCCCAGCGGAGGAATGCGGGCAAGAGACAGAAGGGAAACTTGAGCTCTTTCGGAAACGTTCAGCGAGGGGAACCATCCTAGGCCGAGGACTCCAACGACCCTCCCCTCCCAAGAAAGAGAAACACCCCTGCGAGCACCGAGCACGAAAGAGGCCTAGCGGCCAAGAGCAAAGACTCATCGGCCTCTAGCGATGTGTGTGAAGGCAGCAGTCTGACAGGGGAGGGGGCATGGGCCAGGCGCAATCCACCCTCACAAGGCCTCAAATCTCCACAATGCCACGGCCTGCAGCACCTTTGGCCCACGATACCTGGGTCCTCCGCCGTCTCTTGCGGCTGACGCTGGGTACTAGCGACTTGCTGCCCCTGGTCTGCCATGCCACCACCATTAGAACGCGCTTCTTCGTCTCAGACGATATAATTCAGACGCGGAATCTCTTCGAGACAACCTGTTCCCACGCTGCTCAACATCTCCACTTGGACTATTTACACTTTGCCAAACGCTTCCCGCACTTAGACGACAGACGCTACCCCAATCTATCATACCTAGTCGATCCATTCTCTATACTTAGGCAGAACCTTTTTGAGAATCTTCAACACCTGACTTCTTGAATCCTTCCCAAGCTGGTATATAGTCTCTCATCCTCGCTTGCATCTTCTCCTGAAAGATCACCAACTCACACCACCAACAGTCAGACACAACACAATTTCGATTCACTACAAGCTCTAACATACCACTTCAACTTCACCCCAACAACACCGACACGTTGTCTTCCTATCACCACCCCGAAGCTCACTATATCGACAACACCATTGTCTATAAGTACAGGTCTCGTCGTCCAGCCAACTCCAATCGAGAACATCAACGTCCACCAACACTCTCGAGGACTCTTTCCTCTACCCAATCGACCACACCCGCGAGACGAGTTCCATTCGTTACGCAGGTAGTTCAACCCTCACCACCAACCCCGCGCACGCTGCGCCCTCATACGTTTACACAAGATACAATGTGCACCACCGACGTTTACACCTACGTCTACCCCGACGGCCGGAGGGCTGAGGAACAGCAACCCACCTTTTGCTCTGCTTCCCGCAACGGCCGCCTTTGCGCCAACCCTGTCATCTACAACCACCCGCCGCGTCCAGTCGGCTACCCTTCACCAGTGCCCATGTATGCTCCTGTCGGACCAGCATACCCATTTCCTCAGCAGATGCCGCCCTCTCCTCCCATGAGCTCACCACGCGGAACTTCCTCGGGCAATGAAGGAGGCCGCGCTCGTCGCGAATCTTCTTCGAGCGAGAGAAAGCACCGCCAATCCGGAGTATACGTAAACGGTCAAAGGGTATTGGACCTCAACCGCAAGCACCGGTCACGTAACGAGCGCATCGTGATTGTCGACTCTCCACCCACCCCGCGCACACCACCAAAGCAATTCGCTTCACCTTACACCGCGCCGCCTTCACCCATTGCAGGCGGCGAGAACCCTCAGTTCCGCTACAGCCACGTCCGCCGCGACTCTCTTCGCCCAGTCATCGTCGATGAGCGCCCGCGGTCCAAGGTCGAGATTGAGGTTATCGACAACAAGCACCGCCGCCATCACTCTTCTGAATCGCGCCACAGCTACCACAGCGCCGAGGAGGAGGAGCGCCGCCGCCGTCACCGAGATCACAAGGAGCGTGAAGAGCGCAAACGCCAGGAGGAGGATCGCCAAGTTAAGAAGCAACTACGCATCGCTGAGCAAAACGCCAAGATTGCCAGCCGCACCGCCGTACCCGTCCCTCCCGCTCCTTTGAACCGCACCTCTACTGGCTACGGTTCCCGATACCAAGAGGACTTGTTGGCAGATGCTCTTCGCCGTATGGAAGTTGTCGACCATCTCACGGCAAGAGCTGAGGATGAGGAAGAAGCCCAGCGCCGCCGACTCAAGGAGCGGATGACACCCCACCGCCGGGCTACCGTGGGGCCGGGTACACGGAGGCACCGCGTTCTCTACGACGATGGTCTCTGGCGATGGGAGTAAACGATTGCTAGGATGAATGGATTTCCTGCTTCATGCTGTTTGTTTATCCATTATCGATATGCGAGCTCTGCGCTTGATCGTTTTCTTGGAATTGTATAGATAGCCAGCGTTTCTTGATTTACATGCATGTACATATACCACGGGGGGAGGGATCGCCGGGAGAGCGATGGGAAGATACCACCACAACAGGATACATTGGGACAACCATTAGATAGTCATTGAATCAGTAAAACACAGTTATGATTCGTATATCTGCTCCTTTCTTGCCGGCTGTGATCTTTTTTGGTGATGCAGTATCTTTGCAGTACATTTTCTCGTGATGGACAGTCGCCGTCGCGGCCTTGTGATCGCATGCGCCTGCATGTCTCACTCCTGCCCTGGTCCCTCCTCGGATCTTGGAGGACTCGGCAACATCGAGTAGGCGACACTGCCGTGTTTTGCTTTCCTCCCATCCCACCCTTTTCGGAGAGAGATTACGAGACGAGACATCTGCAAGTTACCCTTATCCGTGGCGTTTTCCTGTTCGTTCACCTCAAAACATTGTTGTTGGAGACATGCATGGACGATGAGAAGAGGTGGATGGGTGTCTGTGGCGGGAGGTTGCGATGGCCTGAGTCAAGACACCCACCCACTTACACGCGGAAGGGACTGATAGATCGTTAGTGGGTTCTGCATTTACGATGGATTCCCCAAATTTGAGGTTGACATTTTTTGGTTGCATGATGCTTGCCGCGCAATGCGGATATGCGCATTGCCAGTACGGAACTCTGGAAATTGGGGTGTCACCGCAAGGACTCTTCCTTTCCTTCTCACAGCGGGGTGGGACGTTGGCGCAAATCTTCGCACCGCGGGGTCATTTCTGCCTGGACCGAGAGGACGCGATTGCAGTCACGACTCCTTTGACAGCTTCTCAAGCAGATGTACAACATCGCCAAGACCAACGGATCCCTTGCGGAAGAAGAATGACAGGAAGACCCTAAGGATTACGGTCGCGCTTGCGGGGACTAGAACAGGCAACGCCAGGCAGTCCCGCCCAGTCGGCACGGGCTTTCGGGGGGGTAAGAAGCAGCAGTTCACGGGTCATCCCTGTTGGCTGGGGGGGGTTCTTGGAGACGGCGGGACGGGTCGCTGGGGTGTTTTGGTGTGGGAACGAGTCACCGAGTGACATTTGCACACCTTGTCACCGAGGGCGCCGATGTCGGTGTATTTCGGTCAAGTGTCTGCCGGCGGGGTAATGGCCGATGGCGGGGTTAATCATGTGTTTACGCTTGTTTATGACCAGATCCTTGCTCTTTGTCTCTTGCTTCGCTTTCTATGCTTCTATGAAATATGAACTTGTCTATGATGAGCGGAATCTCGCGAAACCCGTCACAAAGTTGAAAAAGTTGCACTTTCGGAGACTGAGGCCATTTCGCCTCCCTGCCAATTACCCCACCTACGTACTCCGTGCCACCATCTCTGTTCCTACGGGCTTGGTAGGGGAGTGGGGTCATTCACCTGTCCACCAACCAGAGACTAAAGATTGGTTTTTGACTTGTGTCCTTCGTTCCGTTCCCGTAGGGAGTCATTGCGGCGTGGGAAAGGCGAAGCTTCCGAGCCAAGTGGTGACACATTCTGGCGGTGAAGAAAGGGTTTTGTGGTGGTGTGCTCGGTGTTGATCGCCTGGTTTTTGAGGATCTGGTACACGATGCAGGTACCTATTTTCTGTGACTTTTTTGGGACTTATTTTTCGATTTAGATATCCGGAGTAGAGTGAGCCCGAATAGGGAATGCGCATTTTCTTACACCGAACACGGAGCTGCCTTTCTAGGTACTGCGGTCTTAGGATCATCATGACCAGACCACCATCTATCTAATATTTAGCGATCGAATGTTGTCCTTCGGTACTTACTGGCCCTTGAAGACCGGGGATACTGTATTAAACAGCGGAACTCAATACAAAGTCATCCTAGGTCATTGAAAAAATACACTACCCTGGACTCACAACAGAGTTCCCTTTGGGCGGAGACAGAAAGCCGACTAGGTGCAACATGTAGCATTAGAGACACTAAAGCTAACATGTATAATTAGGATAGATAGTGATCCGAACGACCACTTACTGAATCTACTAAAGTTACGATTCATCTACAACAATGGAGCGCCTCGATGCTACAGTTCTAACCCCGATTCAAGAGTACCAGTCTCCCTCATCATCGTCAATCGACTCCCCCATGTCAGATTTGTGCAGCAACTCCTGAACCGTCCATAGCTTGAAGGGAAACCCGGGCACGGTGTTGGTATTCTTGAACTCCTTCCCATGGAGTAGATGCGCTGCGCAAGCTTCGTAGTTGTCGTACGCATATTGTTCGGGATCATGCTTCAACAGCCACGATCCTGTAAACTTCGCGATGCTGCGGGGGTTCTTCGCAGCTTCATCCCAGTTGGTGTGATGGAAGACCTCTCTAGACTTGAAACCAATCTTCTGGGCGCAAGCGGTTCTCTCGAAACTAGATACAGCCGTCTCATAATCAGTAAAATGACCACATATACCAAGGTTATTGATGTATGGCGTGAGGAAGAAGACAGCTTACCGGAGTTTGTTGTGCACCTTGGTTGCCAAAGCAGCAGACACCTTGCCGCCCATCTTGAGACAAGCAGCAAGAGAAAAGGCATCTTCCAGAGCAGTAGTAGCGCCGAACCCAGAAGAAGGCAGGAACGAGTGCGCCGAGTCGCCGCATTGCACCACTCGCCCTCCGTCCGACACCCACTTCGGCTGGGGATCACGGAAACGCAGCTTCCAGTCGGTAGCCTGGTTATTGGGTGTCGACTTGATGACCTCGTGCACGATAGGCGCCCATCCCTCGACGTACTTGAACGCGCCAGTCGAGTCGGCGATACGGTTCCAGTCTTCCACGGCAGCGTCTTCGTCTCTGTGCGTCAGGCCCCAGCAGAACTCGGTCGGCGATAAGCCGGTGAAGAAGTGTGCGCCGGGACCAATGTGGAGGGACGTCCACTCCCGCTTATCCTTGAAGAACTCTGCAATAGCAGGTACTTTAAGCGCCTCTTCGGCTCGGTAGCTAGCTCTGTACAGGGCAAAGCCGGAGCTGATGGGCTTCTCCTTGGTGCCGGTCACGATGCCCCAGGACTTGGATCCTACGCCGTCTGCTGCCACGACGATGTCGGCGGTAAGTTTGCTCCCGTCGGTGAGGACCACGCCACCAAGCTCCTTGGTCTCGAAGAAATCCTCAACCTCTTTGCCTGTTTCGATGGGGATGCCAAGTTCGGTGGCGTAAGTCAGGAGGAGGAGGTAAAACTCGCGTCGGCTGACGGAGATCGTGGGGAGGTGGGGGTTTCCGAGCCTGGTTCCGAACAACTTCTCGCCACTGAATTTGAAGAATTGGAACTCGGCCGAGATGGCGCTCTTGTTTAGCCTCTCCATGAACCCGGGCCATTTCGAGGGCGTATGCAGTCCGGGAGACTGGATGAAGAAGATTTCACCTGCGGATCAAAGTAGGTGTTTGGTCAGAATATTGTCTCTGGAAAGTGAGCGAATAGGTAATGCTTACCATAGTCTCCCGGGTCTATGCGCTTCTCCAGAACCTTGACGCTATGTCCTTGGCGATGAGACTCGATGGCGAAAGCCAGACCAGCGATTCCGGCGCCGACAACCAAAATCGAGATGCCTGTATCAGAAAGACGTTCCATGATGTTAGCAAATGCTCTTTTTGTCGGATGAACCAGGTTTTCGCGGCCAATAGGTGCTATGCAAGTAACTTCAATCGAGTTGAAAGAACCAGAGAACTGTGCGTTGATGCAGAGATGAAGGAGCAGTCTCTGTTCATGCTAAAAGTAGTTCATCTTGAGGTGATTGAATCATCACCCTGTCTTAGCAGAACGGCGGTCGAAAAGTCCGCGCCTTGAGACATGAAGTTTCGGACATTAACGAAATTTCAATTAGGCCGAATGTCGATGCTAAAGAACAGGAGGAAACAGATTTAACCTAGCCCCTCGATAAGATCGTGTTACATTTAACCCCACGTAGTCTGAATTATGCCGCGTCTGTAGAGCTAGAAGTAAGGCTACTTACTCGCTACTGGCCCAATCAGCTGTAGTGTGCGAGTAATTGAATTAGAGATAAAGTCGGTATTCGGGGCTGTTGTCCTTCCGTGACCCGTTCAAAACTCTCCGTAGTTTTCGTATGGATTGCCGACTAGCCTTTTGATTTCGTAGTAGACGTATGCTCGCGTTTCGTCGTTATAGAGGGCCGCTGAGTCAGCTCGCGATTCACCGGCGGTAGATCGTACGACTCCTAGTCGTTACACTAGACGAACACCTAATGCTTAGGGGTCAGGCTCCAGGAGCGGATATCGGCAGGGGCGTCATACAGAAGCCCTAAACTCAGAATTAATCCGCTCGGTCGTTTTGTCAAGTTAGGAAAGCTAACCCATCCAAATGGTGCGCCCTCGGGGTTTACCACCTCAGTCAGGTAGGAATGTGCGTATATCGTCTTCTCCACGATACGCGCCTTCTTAGAATCATAGTAGCCCCTTAGTGTTGACGTTGAAAAATATCTTCTTTCATTAAACGCATCAGCGCGTAAGGATAAATGGATGACGAAGATCGGTGCTACTCGAAGACCGATGTCCGGGAATGACTCTGTCTCTCCTCAACAGCTTGAGCCACCTTCCGATAGGTGTCCCCGTAGAGTCGGCCTTTGATCTTCAATCGCTTTATACTGCCCATTTACTATGACTCGCGGACATTAGTGGAGTTGCGTCCTTGATGGGTGCGATTTTCCGCTCTTACAACCTCTATTGTCTGCTGCCCGACAGCCCGGTCGGCGGTCGTTCATCTCGATTGTACTCCTCTCAGCATCTCTCCCAAAGCTTTGTTATAAGGCATACCCATGTAAAACCCTAGTCGGCGCTCAAAGCCCATTGAGACCTTTCTAGAAGTAGAACGCTTCTCGTTCATCATGCAACGCTATACCTGAATAGCTCGAGGGTGACGGAAAACCTCGAGTTATTGATTGATTCCATGCTCTTCACGGGCAAATGACCTCGAACACCTTGCCTATTTCACCCCGTTGGGCTTTGGATATCGCTGTTGAACAGAAAGTCGTCTAAAATCGTCAATAAAATATCCGTCAGCCAAGGCAGTTGCGTGGGTTGAGGAAGTTGCCCAAATTGGATTTCTCTCAAAACCTACATGCAGACTGAGGCGAAGGCTTTTAATTTTCTTTGCGGAAGAGAGTAAATTCCTGTCTGTATCTTTCGCCTACCCAAACTTGCGGCACTGGTGGTCCTGAACCATATGCTGCTCGGTGGCGTAGTAATATTGGAAGCCCCTTGCCCGGTCACCTGATCGACTGAAGAGTCCTTTATTGGCAGAAAATTGACATGTTGGCTGCGAGAATATGCAGGCTGTACTTGGGCGACATGAACCCAGGCTAAGAAGCGTTGGGTTTGATGTACACAAACCAAGCTTCCCATGCGGGGAACATATCACATCGTAATTAACGGATTCAAACACGCCGAAAGGACCCTAGGTTCGCTTCAGATAGAATCTCAGAACATGGAACTCAAAGATGTCAACTACGTGTTGGCGCTGCTCATCAGTCTGGGAGGTCGTGAGAACACAGTTGGCGTAAGCGGCCTTCTTCTGGGGGGTGGTAAGTCATAAGACTCCGAATCTACCAGTATGCGATCCTAGTTGGTTCATTACAGGCTTTTCTTGGTTTTCTGGCGAAGTTGGTTTCGCTGCAGATAATGTGGCCGAGTATGAGGTAGAACCAAATATTTTACCCCTGCTTTGGGCAGTACGCGTAGTGGACGCTTACCAAATGTTTTTCAGGTCGTTTTAGCCAGCGGCAATGTTATCAGAGCTAGTCAACACGTGAACTCTGACTTGTTCAAAGCTCTCAAGGGCGGAGCGTGTAACTTTGGCCTGGTCGCCAAATTCGTGCTCAAAACCTTTCCCTCTCGCAACCTCTATGGCGGGGCCATGGTATTCCCTTGGGCACAGAAGAATGCCATCGTTCAGAAGTTTGTGGAGATGATTGGCGGCAGATGATTGACGGCAACACCAACGGGCACCCCGGAGATACTGGGTTCGCAGCTGCTGCGTGGAGTCTCAGTGGTGAGAAGAGAATGTCTTTCGTTGTTGCTAACATTGAGGGGCAATCCAACTCAACGGCTTTCGCGGGACTTGAAGTTCTGTCTCCCGTGGTCGACGTGCGGGCAAACCTCCCAGTGACCAGCATTGCTGCCCAAGTCACATCGCCGAGTGGCGAGTACCAGGTTTGGAGCACTCTGACTTTTCACAACACACTTGGCATGGGCCGCAAGATTCTATTATCATTCGACGCCGTTATTGAAGAAATTCAGGACCAGGTCCAGGATGGCGACGACTTCAGAATCGTCTACCTCCTAACGCCGTTTCCAACCCTGTTCTCAAACTACGGCGACAATGTTCTTGGTCTTGACGAAATCCACAAGAAGAACTCTATTGTTTTCAGCATCCAAGGAATTTTTCCTAACATGAAATATGTTGGGCTATTGAGACAGAGGCTGAAAGAAGCGACTGCAGACATCGAGGCTTATGCTAGAGCTACTGGCCAACTGATCCCCTACTTATATCTCAACTACGCGGGTCAAGGTCAGAGACCATTGGCGACGTATGATGAAGAAAACATTCGGTTCCTGGAAAGAGTTGCGGAGAAGTACGATCCCGGACAGTTCTTTCAGTACAGCGTGCCGGGAGGATTTAAGATTAAGGATGTATGAGGGCTTACGGCATCGGGACTATCACAACCTGCCGTCTGATTGAAGAAAGTAGTATTGTGATGTGGGCACATGAATTTGGCGAAAAGATCTCGTTTGAGGGCTTTCAGAAGTTTTATTGTCATCAGTTGCCAGTTACCGGATGGATTTAGGCGTTGATTTAGTGATTGGTGTCGCTCTACAAATGGGCACTTGCATTCGGGCCCGTCAACTGACCTTGTCGGTCAAAGAAGAGCTTCTGACCAGTCCTCAAGCTTTCCTGTAGGCCTGAGGCGATCCTCAGTGACGTAAGAGCCGATCTGAGTGGGATTGGCAGTGGCTTGTCGTCCAAAATAGCATCAACGAACGCATTCGCTTCCACAACGAATGCCGAGATGAATCTATCGTACCAAGAGTTCGTCGGTTCAATCTTGACATAGCCATCAGTATCGCAAATCTCTACTCGATTCTTTCGCGGCACAGCATTGACTGTCAATTTGCCTGTCGTACCGAATATCTCAGTGACGCTGTCATAACCGTGCGATGAGCTTCTCGAGTGGTAGAAGTGAGCCATCTTTCCGTCCCAGAACTCGCACACCCCGATCGCGTTGTCCGCATCGCCAGTCTTTTCAAGATCTGGGAAGAAGGAGGTTGTTCCAATGGCAGAGACAGATTTGGGGACGGAATCCTCGCCCAAGAACATCAGTGACAGGTCAATTTCGTGAATGGCGCAGTCAAAGTAGATGCCACCAGAGTCCCTGAGGTACTGATGAAAGAACGGACTCTGGTCAAGCTTCTCACAGCCATGAGACCTGAAAACGAACGGCTTGCCAATGGCACCTGATTTGACTTTGTCGTGCGCATCCTGGTAGCTGTCGTCAAAACGGCGGGCGAACGCGACCATGGCTTTCGTCTCTGGCTTTGCTTCCACATGTTCGCAGAGGGTCTCAAGCTAGGTGAGAAAGCGTTAGCACAAATGGAGAAGGAGATAACAATGACAACGTCAGGTACCTCTGAGATAGACTTGCAGATAGGTTTCTCGCATAGAACATGAATCCCCTTATTGAACGCAGACAGTGTCTGTGAGAAATGTAGCTCGGTAATAGAGGAGATGATGACAGCCTCAAGCCCTGGCGTCTCCATCATCTCTTCGAAAGTGGGATAAGTCTTGACACCATGCGGCTGAAGATGCTGTTCGGCCCAGTCGAGATCAGCTTGAGCAGGAGAGCAGGCGCATAGAAGTCTGGCTCGCGGGACTAGGTTCAGAATATTGAGGGCATGCTTCTGCCCCATACGTCCGATGCCAACAACACCCACATTGAGGATCTTGGGTGACGAGGTCATGTTGTCAAATTCTTCGAGATACAATAGAGTGATCTGAATTTAATTTCATGAACAAAATTTTGGGGATGTCGCTGTGAACAGACGGATTAGCTCGCTTGTCGTCGTAATGATCGTGTTGTGACTTTTGCTGGCGATGTTACGAGAGGTTATACTTGTGAATACGGAGAGCGGAAGATTATTACTGCTTCTAGCGAATGAGGGCAACCCCGGCGATTTTACACCGTATTGGTAATATGACGCTCAATAATGGCTGACGCGACGTCACAGGTGAATCCCGAACACCGATGTCATCGAGCATTCACAGTGAGAACGTGTGTATAAAAGGTGGAAGAATGTCCTCGGGCTTGCAATTCCGTTTGGAACTTTGGATACAGCGGCTCGCGATCGAGTGTTGTCCCTGTACGCCTCTTCTCATACCCACTACCACCCAATTCAGCCATTCAAGTTTCCAGTTCAGCTACACACACCTCAAAAATGTCGGAATTACCAGCGATTCGCTGGGGCATCGTTGGTAAAGCATTCCCCGCATGCTGAATTCGGGGAAAAGCACACTACTGACTGACTGGAACAGCTACCGGGATGATCTCCTCCTGGTTCGTCGAAGACCTCTTGGTCTCACGATCAGATGCAAAAGTCAAGCACATTGTCCAAGCGATTGGGAGTTCATCCGTCCAGAAAGGGCAAGACTTCTCGAAGCAATATTGCCCGAATAGTCAACCGGCTATTTATGGATCGTACGGGGAAGTTTATGCCGACCCCAATGTGGATATCGTCTACATTGGCACCCCGCACGCTTTCCACAAGCAAAACTGCCTGGATGCCATCGAAGCAGGCAAACCCATTCTTTGCGAGAAGGCTTTCACGATAAACACTCGTGAGGCAAAGGAGGTCTTTGCGCGTGCCAAGGCAAAGGGAGTCTACGTTGCTGAAGCCATGTGGCTCCGCCACCGACCTCTGGTCCAAGATCTGCAACGCATGCTTCACAAAGACAAGGTCATTGGCGAAGTTTTCCGCGTCTACTCTGAGTTCGGTCTCGGGCTAGACATCCCGAACCTCCCAGACAGCTCGCGTTATAAGCAACCTCACCTTGGTGCAGGGTCGCTATTGGATTTGGGGATCTACACTCTGACGTGGGCTATCCTAGGCTTGGACGCAGGAACTCCTGGTTCTTCTGAGAAGCCCAAGATCCTAGCTTCACAGTCGCACGATGGTTCTGTCGAGGTGACTACCAGTGTCATCCTCCACTATCCCTCTACGGGTAGACAGGGTGTTGTCACTTCAACGACAATGGCAACTGGAAACCCAGATGTGTTGGCACGCATTCAAGGAACCAAAGGCACGATTGAGGTACATGGCACCGTCCCATCTGACCCAGACTCTTTCACTTTGTACTCCACATTTGAGAGAGACCAGGTCAAGGGCATCATCGGAAGGGACGCGATCAAGACATTTGAATACAAGCCAGTCGGACGAGGGTATTATTGGGAAGCCGACAACGCTGCGTTGGATGTGCTGGCCGGGAAGTTGGAGAGTGACGTGATGCCTTGGGCAGAGACTATTCGTGTCATGGAGATGATGGACGAAATCCGACGACAGGGTGGGACTGTGTATCCTCAAGACGAGGAGTGAGGGGTGTTTTCTTAAATTCAACCGTAGAATAGATAGCAAGCAACAAAGATTTGTATTTGAGGGTAACTGGATTATCCCAATTATTGCGCAGCAAGCAGTACTAAGCTTTTTGCTGACGTGGAAGCATTGTGATTTGAGGGGAATGGAGTCTGGTAAGTCAACATACCCACTTCCTGGCACCCCCCTGTTTCTGGCACCCACAAAAACGCGAAAATCCACCACAACCCAATGCCCACCCCCAACCTCCTTTTATCACAACATTTTCAATTCGCGTCCAAATGGGCTCATCTTTTGCACATGTCTTCTTCTATATATAATGCCTCAATATACCGAAGATCAGCTTCGTCAGGCTCTCGAGGA